TCCTAATAGAAAATTCCGTTTGTAAACTCATACGGACCAAACTTTGCACACTTAGGGAGCCTCCAGACCGCGCCAAAACCGCGCCGATTGTCGCTTTTGCAGCCAGTAGCTGCTTTCGCGCCGGTTGCCGCTATCGCAGCTGAGGCGCATTGTGTCAGATTTTGTCCTTGGAGCGTCGCGAGAGCCTATTGGCACTACATACAAGGCTTTTCGATTCTTTTGCCACCACTCTTTTCCAAGGTCTTCTTCTTTCCGTGACTAATTCATTGGAGGTTCTACGATGCTAGAATAGTGGACTTATTGTCAAATACTCAATCTACCTCCCGCTGTAGAGTTGTTTCTTTAGGCGAAAAAGTGATGAAGGCGTTTTGTCTTTCATTCGTTTCAAGGCTACTCTTTTAGATCGATTACGTAGAACAAAGTTTCTTTGAATTTGTCTTTAGTTTTAAAGCTATGCTACTTCTATTAAGGACATTGGGTTGCGGACTTTCCCTGAATGTAAGTATGAACTTGTTGGAACTTCATGCAGCATTGTTTTTCGTACTCTTTCGTTAACTCTACCATTAAAATCAGGGAAAGCCCGCAACCCGCCTTTTTACCTATTTTGCTATGCTGAAGTAAAGGTATATACCAGTCAGCGTAGTGAAGTACCAAAAGCAAAAACAGTACAGAGAATTTGAGTTCTGCAGCTAGATCGCTGCTACGGCACGATAGAACAGCTTCAAAAACAAAGAAAGTGCACTTTCGCACTCGCTCATCCAGCATAGTAAACCAGCTTCAAAACGAGATAGACGTCGAAAAGGCCTTGCCTTGCAATCCAGCAATAGCTCCACAGCGGGATTTAGACTAAAGGGGTTTCACTCGACAACGAATCGATTTTTTCAGCATCGTAGACGACCGAAAAAAAGGAATCCAGATCAAATGAACCATATCTGCAATGAATTACTACAGCAAAGAAGAGAACTTTGGAAACAAAAGAGTGATGACAAAGAAATCGAAAAGCCTAGATCTAGCGCCAATAGGCTACGCTCCAAGGACAAAATCTGACACAGTGCGCTTCAGCTGCAATAGCGGCAACCGGCGCGAAAGCAGCTACCGGCTGCAAAAGCGACAACCGGCGCGGTCCCGGCGCGGTCTGGAGGCTCCCTTACAGTCTACCCCAATCCCAACCAGGCCAAAATTGGCATGGCGAGAGACCGCGTCGCTAGGGTTTTGCGGTCACGCCCACGCCCTGCTTCTCTGCTCTCTCTTCTCTTTTTGCTCTCTCCGACAGCGCGCATATACAGCGCAGACCGCTAGCGCTGCCAGCGTGCAAATTTACGCCGACGGTTCGGCCTGATCCCGCTCAGACAATCGCCGGGGGCAGGCGGGCACCGGAAAAAGAGATTGCTGATCTCTCGCACACCGCTCACGGATTTTTTGGAAAGCAATCAGGACTTTTCGGAAGACCGCTTGCTGAGTTCTCAATTCCTCAGAGATTCAGCAATATATCTGCAAAAGATGAGAGCGAAAAAAATTCAACAGGCGGTCTCGCCTGTTGAATGTCGCCAGCGACAGTTGAATGTTGAATGTCGCCAGCGGTCTTCCAAAAAGTCCTGATTGCTTTGCAAAAAATCCGCGAGCGAGGTGCGAGAAATCGGCAATCTATTTTTCCGGTGCCCGCCTGCCCCCAGCGATTATCTGAGCGATTGGAGCGGACTGTACACTTCGATGCGGGGCGGCTTACCGATATTTTGCAAAGCTTGAGCTACGAGGCTGGGAGTTGGCAGAGGAGGGCAAATGAGCATGCTGATTACGAATATAATGTTATTTTCAGAATTATCTATTACTTTTGCCGTTTTTGTCGTTTTGCCGAGATTAACATTTAACGTTGATTTTGACGATGATCGTAGATTCGTTGACCGTACGGACTGCTCAAACGCTGCGAACCATGCGCGGCGCAGCTGAATTGTCGCGAGAGCACGATTTGCACAATGGCGAATTTGTACTGGTACAAGCGTTTTACCTCGCGGCGCGTGCTCTGCAGTGATGTCCAGTCCGTGCGTTCAACGAGTCACATATACAGAGTGTCCCAAAAAGATGTGCACACTGTTTGATCGTTAATAACCCTCTTGCTTTCATATCTTTTGCCGAGCTTGAGGTACCATTTTGTAGAGCAAGGATAAACTTAGATTTACAGTATGAAGAGAATCACTAATCACCCTTCATTGCTGTAGGATTACGGTATGAACTTTCAGCATACAACGTCACTGTAGAGTAGGCCTTTTGATGAAAGAATTTCAAAAGAATCTGAAAATTTGTGTAGCAAGGTTTTCAAGCGTGCTGATTTCAATACGTAACTTTTCACCAGTTTTTCGAGCTTTCTTGATGGCGTATTCACATTTCTGACGAACATCGGAAAATCAGTTGTTACCCTAAATCTGAAATAACTCATGAAAGAAACAATGTCCTGATGTGCAGTTTTCATATTTAGAATCAGCGACTTTGCTTAGCCCAGTTCAAGAGTTTCTGGCTTGTTTGACTTTCTTTCTGAGGCAAAATACCGCTTTTACTGGCGCAAAATCGTCCTCGAAGTTCCTACCGTAATCCTACAGTAATGAAGAGCGGTTGATAATTCGCTCCATACTGCAAATCTAAGTTGGACCTCGCTCAAGAGAATGGTACCTCAAGCTCGGCAAAAGACATGAAAACAAGAGAGTTATTAACGATCAAACAGTGTGCACATCTTTTTGGGACACCCTGTATTTCATTTCAAACGGCCATCGACTAAGGAGGCATCTCTCGTTATCTTACTGTGACACTTCTAATGTCAGATTCTCGGTTTATTCTATGGGGTTACTTTGATCAGCAGCTTGCTTCTTACAATCACAACAGAATCGATCATGCATTTAGTGAGTTCCCATCAGGCTGAGATGACGCTGGTTGCGCTCTTCGTTCATCAATACAGATGCATCTGAAAAGAAGCAGGTGAAAATTGCAGCGGGTAAGACATGTAAACATGCTGCGCGATTCAGATATGGACATTGTTTGTGTTCATAAAATCATTTCAATTTCACACTGCTTGCGTCTCCATAACATTTCATTATCATTTGTAATATTGGCTGCACGATTAGCTTTGTTGGCTGTAATCCTGCATCGTTCATCAGCAACGGATTCGCTATCTGCAGCCTAGTGATATTTTTTCAAAATATAGAATAAAAATAATAAAATTCTGCAAAAATATAAACAGATGTCGACAGTGGATGCATCAGATACTGTTGGTATGACTTACCATACAGTGATAAATTTTATTGGAACTTTCTTCAATGCCTTAGTGGTATATTTAATAATTAAAAAGACTACAAAAGAACTCCAGACGTACTCTGTTCTTCTCTTCAACATCGCCATTTGCGACCTTTTCGCTTGCGCATTCTCTTTGCTGATTTATCAAAGGTATGAAATGCACTATTCATGACATCATTTACAATGCAATCTTTTAGAATTATTCCAACGGATACGGCTTACTTTTTCGTATCACATGGGCCATGCACACTAATAGGGCCAAGATTCTGCAACACAGCGTCAGCACAGAGACTTCTCATGTGAGAAAATTGCATAGTATTTTTTCAGATTCGAAATTTGGATGCATTGTTATCCACACGCTTTTTATGGTTTGGCTTTATCATTAATCTATCGTTATTACGTACTCTTGAGGCCACCACCACGAATGCGTACTATCATCGCTATCATTATAATCGTCTACATTCCATCTTTCACGCAGATGGTGAGATTTGCTTCTTCACTCTCAGATTCTTCCTATAGCATTTGCTTAAAGGCAGCGTCCAGGCAAATTTGGCCCTATAGGGATTTTACGTGGAGGGTAATCTTGGGGCCCTAACTAAGGCACTGCCCAAGCAGCAGATCAGGTAATGCACTAACGGTTGAGATATTTGCCTCGAAACTGGACCCCGGGATCGTATTCGCATATATTCATGGCGCAAACCAGACCATCAATTTCGCGCGAGGATCCGCACTTTGCGCCATGAATCCATGAGAAATACGATCCTGGGGTCCAGTTTCGAGGGGAATATCTCAGCCGTTAGAGCATTACTGAGCTGCCGGTTGGGCAATGGCTTAGTTAGGGCCCCAAAATTACTACACACAGTCCAGATTTGCCTGGACGTCGCCTTTAACACAATCTTTATGTAATCCTTACTTCAATTTGAAATAGGTTGAAATTTTGAATGTGTATGAGGAAGGGTGCACGACGGGTAGAATATGGTCGCTGATGATGAGTATTATATTTTATCATCCTACCGTTTTTCTGCACCGTTTACGCTAGACAAATTGTTTTGCATATACATATGCTCTAAGAATCGCCCCCAACAGCTAAAAAGTACAGGGTGTCTCAAAAAATCTGCCTACTGTTCAATTGTTAATAACTCTTTCAGCACGAAGCCTTTTTAAAATCATTGGGTAGCGTTTTGTAGGGCTGGCTTCTACGATTCACAGTTTTGAGCGAACCACCGATTGCTCTTCATTACTGTAGGAATACGGTAAAAGTTTTGAAGTTTCAGCAGTTGACGGACTTATTTCGGTTTATGAAACGAACCAAGTCAAAAAAGCAAAAAACGCTAACACTAGGCTAATCAGAGCCGCTGACACCAAATGTGAAGTTTGCCCTTCTCTGCGATGCTTTCATAAATTATGCCAGTTGACAGTAGTTCGGTTTGGCAATGTTCCCTAAAATTGTGATTATAGCATTCAAAAAGCTTCAGTAATTTGTAAAAAGTTGCGTAATGAAGTCAGCGCACTTGAATACCCTTGTACATAGCTTTTCAGAACTTTTTGTTTTTTCGAAACACGTGTAATCTACGATGCCTGTAGGATAAAAGTTCCTACCGTAATCCTGCAGTAGTAAAGAGCGATCAGTTTACGCTCACTGCAAATCTAACATTCAGATTCTGTCATCGGTCGCCTTGACAATTGGAGACGTTGCTAAAGAAAAACTCGGCCAGGTCATGGGTTATAGTCCAACTTCTGCTTATGTCAGCGCCTATCTGGACATATTTGACTGGAAATTCCTCTTTTTGCTGGTGCAAATGACCATCAGTGGGATACCCATCTACACTGGCATCTTGCTAGTAAGAAAAAAAATTATCACAACAATACAGTCTACAAAAGCAATGTCGGAGAAGAGTCGACGTACGCATTCACGACTCTTCAAGGTGCTTATAATATTAAAATGTAAACCCTATCTGTTTTCAAGTATTTTTCAGGCAATCACCTACCAAGCTTGCTTGCCCCTATGCGGCCTTACCACCTTGATATTTCATATACTCGGAAGCTTCATAACTTTAAAGTATCCGCTGTGCCAGTATGGATATTCAATCATGGGCCTGGTTCCGGTGCTGAGCCCATTACTGACTATTTACTTCGTTGAACCATACAGGAACTGGGTATTCAGAACTTTTTCACGTCGGAGCAATGCACCTATGATGTTATTGACTCGACCATCTAGGGCTATGAATGAAGGCGGGCTTTTTTGAGTATGAGTGCTCAATGGTCTGTTCGGTGCTGGAAGAAATTCGGCACTAGGCTTTTTTTGGTTACTTGTATAAAACCTGCTTTATCTAAACGTTGTAGCATGACCGCTTGAAACACTACTGCAATCAGAACATAATGGAGCCTGATTAGAACTCATACTATAACGCCCGCGGTTCCGTGGTGTAGATCTTAACTTCATGAGTAGGCAGGCGTCGACATTATTGAAATTTATACACAACTTCGGTCCTATTTGTTTCCATTTTTACTTACTTACTTACTTTTTACTTACTTCTTTACTTTAAGACTAATAATTTTTTAACCGTACCTTTATCTATAAGCAGCAAAAGCAATGCAGAGTAAATATATATAGGACATTAGAGAGAGATCATGAGAACCTGCAGAGCGACTTATGGTTGAGCATATTGAAACACCACAATAACAGAAGACATAAGCCAAAACAACATTCACTCACGAGGGGCCCAGACGAGAAGCGCACAGCCACGGGGAAGAGGAGGCCGCTCTCCAAAGCGGAGCATTTCCAACTCCGACCCTCTAAAGCTCCGCCTCTTGTATGGCTAGAAACTTGCACTTTTGGCTTTGAGTTTTATTCGCGCTCCACAATACTCAATGCTGATGCAAAAGCCCAGATTTTCAGAGGTAACGCCTGCTTTGATAGTTTTGATGACGTTTTGATCTACCGTAAAGATTTTGGTAGACCACCGAGCGCTGCTGTGACTAATCTGTCCATTTGTCCACAGTGCAAAATGAAATGGCTGTCAACAACAATCAAAATTTACAATGAAGTTGACTGTTATGGTAGTTTATTGGTGAAGAGGAAAACTATGAATAAGAAACAAACCACAACAAGAAAATAACACATCACAACAAAACAAGAGAACCGTTGAAAGTGTTAGTGTAATTTTAAGTAGCCTCACCTTTTCGAACAAGGTGAATTTAGCCACGAACATCATTAAAATTGTGATCACATGATGTGCAACTCTACAATGAAGATTACCCTAACATTTTACCTAGCCTTTGGTAACACAAGTATGCTAGCCACCTTTAATATTAGAAGATTCGGTTGCAAAGAAGTTCTTGAATCAAGCTTGCATGTTCCAGATATTATTTTGTGCACCATGATAAGCAAATTTCTTCCTTCTATAGGCGGCCTGCATTCGCATTACAGACCTCACTGCTTGGTATCTGATCATACTTGAATCCAAACGTCCTCATCAGTAGCTTTCTTGTGAAACTGTTTTGAACTTTTTTGAGCAATTCCGGTAGCTTCGAGTCAGTGCGACTAACTGAGGTTGATTTCGCAGTTCTGGCTTTTTTAGTGAATGAAATTTCTTGCTCTTTCTACAATCTCCATATTATTGAGAGTCTTATATATAAAGCTGAATGTCCGTTTGTCTGTCTGTATGTCTGTCTGTCTGTCTGTCTGTCTGTATGTCTGTCTGTACGTATGTTCCGAATAGAAAATACCATTTCTGAACCGATCGGGACCAAACTTGGCACACATACACTTCGGGCCCCGGCGGGTGTCATAGGCTGCTTTTCGTCATCGATCGATATTGATTTTATCGATTTTTTGCAAAATTTGAGCTACAGGGCTGGGAGTTGGCACAGGGGGGTAATCGAGCATGCTGATCACCCCCGTGGGGGTGATCAGCATGCTCGATTACACCCCCCTGCCAAATTCCAGCCCCCTAGCTCAAATTTTGCAAGAAATCGGTAAAATCGACATCGATCGATAACGAAAAGTGGACTGTGGCACCCGCCGGGGCCCGAAGTGTATGTGTGCCAAGTTTGGTCCGGATCGGTTGAGAAATGGAATTTTCTATTCGGAACATACGGCGGAGCCGGGTAAGCCAGCTAGTCATATCATAAAGCTTTCGTGTAGTAGTATTGTTTCAATCTCAAAGTATAGTTAAACCGAAGTAATTCGCGAGCAATCAGCGAACTGTTTGCAGTAAAGAGAACCCCATTTTGAAATACCATCAATAATCCATTGATGAGTATGTTACACATGACACATAGATACAGTTGTATCGGTGCCAAAATTGCGGGATTTGCGGGATTTAGTTATAACTTTTTCTAAAACAACTGTATTTGGAATCTGCAAGAAAATTTGGCTTCAGCTTGATGAGATGAATTTACTAGCAAACATTATGCCCATTTTCCATTGTGTATTGTATTGTAGGCGTCTGTTATGAGATTATCAACATGTATTGTTGCTCATATGAACTTTTGAAAATAACAAAGTGTAATCATATGTCTACCGTATCACATGGACTACGGGCATAATATACAGGGTGTCCCAAAAGTAAGTACACACTTTTCAATCGTTAATATCTCTCTCCCCATTATATCTTTTTCTGCCATTCAAATACCATTCTGTAGAGGAAGCTTCCACTAAGATTTACACTGTTGAGCGAATAACCGATCTCTCTTTATTACTGTAGGATTACTGCAGGAACTTCGACAAGGATTTTAGGCCAATAGAAGCCATAATCTGCCTGGGAACAAAACCAAACAAGCCAAAAACTCTTGCACTATGGTAATGGAAGCCGCTGATTTCAAATATTGAATTTACACTCAACTGTGATGCTTCTTTTCGAAGTTATCCCACGTGACCCGTAATAGCCGAATTCCCAGTATTCGTCAGAAATGTGATTACACCGTCAAAAAAGCTGAAAACACTCGTAAAAAGTTGTGTAATGGAATCAACTTGCGCGAAAACCTTGGTACACAAATTTTCAGATTTTTAAAAAAACGTTTTGTCAGTTGGCATATTTCACAATGGTTCCACATGCTGGAAATTCTTACCGTAATCACACAGTAACGAAAAGAGATTGGTGATTCGACCAATACTGTAAATTTAAGCTGAAGCCTCCTCTACAGAATGGTTCTTGAATGGCCAAAAAAGGCCCATTGCGAAGAGAGATATTGACGACTGAAAAGTGTGTACTAATTTTTGGGACATCCTGTATACTGAAAGATTCGTTTCATCAAGCTGAAGCCGAATCTTCTTGCAGATTACAAATAAATTTGTTAGGAGAAGTTATAACTAAATCCCGCAAATCTCCGAATCCGGCAAATCCCGCACATTTGGTCGGATTCCATCATACAACTGTACTTATTGTTGGATGGCTTGTTACTTGCGTGCAGGCGCAATACAGGAGTTTTTATCAGTTCCTGTCTCCCGTTCGTGCCATTCAGAATCACATAGCCGGCGGTGGTGTCATCTGCAGGAACCTTGCGCATCGGCCTATATGCCTGATACCTGAACTGGTCCATCTGTTTCACAGACAAGTCTGTCCATCTCGATGGTGGTCTTCCTTGGAGGGTTTGCCTTCTGCGGCATTCACTCCAACGTGTCTAGTGTGCATGTTTCTGTTCTTTTTGTGATGTGCACAGCTCATCGGTTTATCCCTTTCGTAACGTATCCCGCTGGGTCGCAGAGGTGGGACATTCTTCTTATATCCGTTCGACGAAGACCGACAAGATTTGGACAGAAAAACTAATCTCCAGAGCTTTATCGGATACTAGCTGGCATACCCGGCTACGCCCGGGTTAATTCTTTGAATTCAGTAAACTATCAATGTTCAAATAGCTTTAACTGCTGTGATCTCTATGACCTATACATAAAATGTTTTGCTTGCGAACTCAATGCTAATCTGAATTTGGAGTTTTTAAAGAATTAATAAAGAAAGTAAATTTTGAAAGAAGTAACTAAAATCTATTTATATAATCACGGTAAAAGCTTGGTAATATGAATGGAATAAAAAACAGATCATTGTGAAAATACTACACTTCCACTTATTCTTGCTACTTTGACATTTCTATTGGAATTATCTGAAAAGGCGTGCTTATTTTACTTAAAGGCAGCGTCTCACTAGACTGGGGTACCTGGCTCTCGTAATGATGTAATAGTAGACCCCCTACCTAAGCGATGACTGAAGTTCGGAGCGAAAAAGGGGGTCTACCAAGCCTGAAATGTGCTCCGAAAGTGAGCCGAATACGGTAAGCTTGGGCGAGTGCGAGGTGCATGCAAGGTAGAGACGCAGAGTGTTGCGGGTCCCTGCGCTCATGATATGTGCGCTATACGCACTCTGGCCCTGCAAATCGATATTGCCGTGTGGGCGGCGTCCGGCCTTACCGTAAGATTTGGCCCACTTTCGGAGCAAATTTCAGGCTTGGTAGACTCCCTTTTTTGCTCCGAACTTCAGTCATCGCTTAGGTAGGGGGTCTACTATCACATCATTACGAGAGCCAGATACCCCCAGTCTGGTGGGACACTGCCTTTAGCAGGTTTGCTTGGCTTCCACGAATGTACTCGTAAGCATAGTGGGGCGGGAGTGATTAACATATCACTCACAATAGAACATTTTCATTGTGCCGTCCTCTAATCGGCTGCTTTTTATCTATCTCCAATGCTCTCATTGAAGGAAATTCAACAATGCCTATTTTTCCGTCATTTTGCTTCACATATTAGACTATGAAAAGTGAGTGTAGCCTAGATTTTGTTTCCTTATATCGCTACTAAGTTCGGAATCCTTCAAAATTTCCACATGTTACGACAAAGAACATTGCTCTGATTATAAAATCGAATATATTTCATGGATGACAGTCACTAATGCAGCTATTTTTGATGCCATAGTTTGGATTCGCAGTAGATCTAACGCCTGTTACATATAAAGCCTATCAATTGCAGTGTCGGGTGCACCAGCATCTCCGCTTCCGCGCGGGGACTCTGCACTTCTTCCGCAAACATGTCTGACTTCATCCGCGAACATGAATCATTTGTAATCAACTGAGGCTCCGCCTTTCCCACGCTCGTGGTGGAACAGTTATCAGACAGCATGTTTGCGAAAAAGGCGGAGAGTCCAGGCGAGGCGACCGCGCGGAAGCGAGAGCTGGTGCGCCCGGCACTGCACTTGATAAACCCCTGTAAGTGCTGAAATAGAAATGACATCGAGAGTTGGCGCCTATAACTTTGCGGAAGGATCCTACACTCTCCAACGTAAGCGCATACTTCACTTTTGAACGTAGAAGGGAGCCTACTTGAGATGCATTGCCTGCCACCGCGCTTTTGCAAATACTTGGAATGGAACGTACCGCTCAGTTCGCACTCACTCATAAAATGATTTTATAAGCCCTTCATTTCGTAGATTTACGTAAACAAATCGATAAATCGATAGAGGGACCCAGTGGATCATCACGAAAAGTAGCCTATGTTCCGTGCCGCGGCTTATTTATATGGGAGCAAAATTCAGCTCAATCGGTCCAAACAGAAAGATTTCTATAAAACATTTCAACATTTCTACACACTAACTGATGTATCCGGCCTTGCCCGGAATAATATCATTCACCATCTTTGCAGATATGTGTGACATGCAAGACTATAACTATCACTGAGTTTACTTGTAAATCAAAAACCTTCAAAAAATTGCATTTGCTGGCCCTAGCAGTTGTTGCAGTGCTTGTAGGGTCTATACATTATTAATCTTAACCGGTAGTCACCGGTGTAATTGCCTATGCATTATGAAACGATCAGAATTTGACACTCATTTTCCCGTCAATCATAACTTTGGGCGGTAACTACCTCTCTCTTATGGTCGGTAACCATTCCTCTTCCACATCAGGAAACATTAAAGAAAGAAAACATATTCATAGGGATGACCGCGTAGGAAAAATAAACACAGGTTGATTGAATCATCATGCAGCGTCAAAAACTCGATTGACAGGCTGGTGAGAACAGCAACATTCATGATCTATTACCGTCAATACCCGTAAGCCGATCGTTGTGCAGTTTTGAACCTATGGTCCAGAACCATACAGAGACGATCGAACCATGTGAGCTAAGCAGCTGAATCAAATCTTAGTTTGACTCAGGGGCCTGTAGTAAACCCCCTTCGAGTCGACGACTTTGGGGGGATTACTACTGGCCAAGATCTCAGTTGTTAGTTAAGTACTCATCGTATCCGTCCCCGCCTCACCTAAGGAAATCGCTTTCGTCTAGAACAGGCTGTACTTCTTTTTAAATTGGAGCAAGAACCTACCTGGGATTTCCTTCACCAAGTTCCTTTTGCCAATATAAAGAATGAGCTGTACTGCTCACTGTAGAGCGAGTTATGTAATGGTGTGATAGGCTTTCATTTTCCCGCATGCACGTAAACAAATTAATAAATCGATCTAAGGACCCAACGAACTGTCGCAAAAAGTAGCCTATGTTCCGCGCCGTGGCTTATTTATATGGGGACAGAATTCAGCTCAATCGGTTCAATCAGAAAGATTTCTATAAAACACAAACATCTTTAGCAACTTACAGACAAACTTTGGGTTTTATATATGTATAGATAGATGGCTGGCAGTATCAGCTTGCTCAGAATCCGCAAAATACTTCAGGGGGAAACTTTTGTAACTTCCGGGGGATACTCTTACTGGAGCTGCGATAGGGCGCGGCCACGTAGGGTGGGATCCACTCACACTGCCCGATAGGAGCGTCGTCCTCGGAAGTTTTAAAAGTTCAGTTTTCCCCGGAAGTATCTTGCGGATTGTCTGAGTGAATCACAGTTGCATAATGGAGTTCAGTGTGAGTCGAAATCATTAGACAGACAAACATTAAGCTTTATACATTAGATTTGGAAAACTCTATTCATGGCACAGCACTAGCAGTAAAATTCGCATTACTGGTAACTATAGTAGAAAGTCGCGGTGTGGATACCAAAGCGTTCCAACGTGGTGCTTTCTGCCGCAGCCACCCCCGATATGGTTGGATATAATAGAGAGATAGTAGCGGACTTAAAATAGGAGCAAGACCTACAATTTTGTACAAGTACTGGAGCAGAGGATGATTTGGACTTATGAGATTTCCCAAAGAGAGGGCAACAACTCCAACACCCAGGAAGAGCGGCAAACACGATTGATAAGTGATAGCCTGGAAACCGATTATTAGCCAATACTGCATGCATAGTATTTTTCTGAAGCTACCTTGAGAAGCTCGGAATGCATCCGAATGGTTTTCTCCGACATTGTTCCTTCACTCTTCAGCTGCCTCAAAATCTTTCTTCTCAGTATTAAGATAGCTATATAGACGGGAAATACTGGAGCACACATATGTGACAGAATATATAAAGTTTTCCATTCGAGTATATTCAAATAAGCGCTGACACAGTCACTGCTTATGTCAAAATTGACTGCTTGACTCATTTGCTTTTTAGCATCGTCTCCCATGTCAAGCGCGAGAAATGTCATTACCTGAAGTATCAAAAAATGTGGTGTAGATCAGTTGTGGACTCGCGAAAGACATAGGCAAGTGTTTAGCTCTTGCCTTGAACAGAGGGCAGAGGGTTCAACAAAGGTGTAGTGAAGTCAAACTACATTTTTTGGGTAGATAGCAAAAGGGACATCGTGAAATATGTTGAACGTACCTACACCTAACTTCTAGCACAACTTCCATAATCAAGTTGCTACATGCCTGACATGCTCCAACGTGTTCTTCTCACAAGCGCGCGAAATTCAGAACTGTGTTTAAAATAAACAAATGACTTGCTTACCGCGCACAATCAATCATATGACACCAAATGTGAACCACATGTGTATAGTAATGCTCCCAACTATATCATGTAAAAAATTTGAAATTGAGTTGTAATACCTGTTCACGGATTTAGTGGCTTCCAGACCATCACCAAACCAGCTGGGTTGGTTTGGAGCATAAATATCAGAGAGCTCACATACGTCTTGAACTTTTTTAGATTGGATGATATCATTCAAAAAGACAAGAGAGCCAACCAGACCGTTGCTTCTCCCCTTTCTTGAACAGTTCAAGGCACCGTCCACCCAGATTCTCGACTTCCATGTTTTGATCGTTCCAGGCCTTCTCATGTCTCTGATTCCGAATAAGAAGTCGAAAATCCGCGAAAACTCCAACAATCCCATTCCACAGAACCCGCAAGCCGACTTTCTGGAACGGCGACTGCTGGGCGCGCACGGATGGGCGGGCATGGATGGGGAGGGCGATGCCGTCTCGTGTATCTTCGTTATTTCGGAGCGATTTTCTCGCTTCCGAAACGACATTTTGCGCCGCGACTTAACCATTGGTTTGATAGGGAACCCTGCTACCATATGCTGCCAAAAGCTCAAGACCCTCAATTCAAAAGATTTAAATTATTAGGCTCTGATGAATATCCCGCGTCACTTCACGACTGAAAGAGTTTGCAGATGCTGGGAGTGAGGGTAAGACCTCTACTCATCTCTCTTTCCTATACATGGCTTGCTGATGCATTAGAAGAGCAGAGCACTGTCAATCTTATAAGCTTCAATTTTTGCTACCTTATAAGATAAATAATTATTTCCTTTAAAGAAGCTTCTAGCGAATAATGTATACCCTAATACCTCACAGATAAGTCCTCCCATCAGATAAGTCCGTCTACAGATAAGTCCTCCTTCAGATAGGTCCGCTTTTTTGACTCAGTTGAAGGCCCTTCAGATAAGTCCGCGTACAGGTAAGTTCGTTTTCATTCCATTATAGATAACTACTCTGAAATCTTGTCGGATAAGTCCGAAAACTGTCAAATAAGTTCGGACTTATTTGTAGGTGGACTTGTCTGATGGGAGGACTTATCTGCAAGATTCTTGGTGGTGCGAAGGTGCATTTTCATCGGTTTTGTCAAAAAAGCGGACTTATCTATAAGATTTTAGGGTACATAAAGACATATAGTTTGGCCCAATCGGGATCAGGCCGAGTTGGCGTAAATTTGCTCGCTCCCAGCGCTAGGGTTTTCAGCCTGATTCGTCTCTGTTAGCCTGTGTATCGTTGCTGAAAGCACAACCATTGAAACCTAAAAAAGCTACAAACGAGCTTTTGGTTAGCTACTAATTCCATAGTTTGGCGGTTATTTGAAATGAGATTTTGATTCGCAACTAACTGTTTCCGTCCTGCTGTCAGGCCTTCGGCGATGAACAGCTTCGTCTAAGTGGCGCAAAAGTTCGATTACAAGCGCTGGCCAGCGATATTACGCTTTCCCAAATAATTTTGGCTTAGAAAACTCCCACATCCCGCCAAACCAAAACATCTACTCATATGGTAGAAGTGCGCTCTATCCTTCTCTATAGTGTCTTCTCTGATAAGAAGTCTACATTTATGTGCATCATAGTCCGGTAAGCGAGAGCGCTAAACAATTCTGCCCTACGAAGCTTCGAGTGACGGCGCGTTTTCTAGCGGAGAACATACTCGTCCGAACAAGGTGTTAGGGGAGCAAGAGGAGGAAGGGGAGCGGCGGTTGGGCCGCCCCTTCCTCCTTTTGCAGAGTTGGCTTGCAGGGTTCACATTTTCGGCGCGGAGTTGCTGTTTTGGTTCACTTGAAGGGCCTCCTATCCATCTGTGTCAAAATCTGAGGTAGGCTCATTCTGCCGAGACGCTACCTTTAAGGATTATGAGTCCAACCACTTGTCACTGCGCTATGCCGTCACGTCGTGTCGAGGACGGCTGCGCATACTTGCGTTGAACGCGTGACCTCATGGAATTCGAACGCTCATATCTTGGCACACAGGACCGCTTGGCAGATACGGAACGCTGTTTTGTTGCGTGCCAGGATCTGCAAAAGTATATGCGTGTCGTTGGAAAAGGCCTCTTCGAGTCCGCACGGTTCCCTTGTTAGACGTAAGGAAGCTAAGGGAGCCTCCAGACCGCGCCGGGACCGCGCCGGTTGTCGCTTTTTCAGCCGGTAGCTGCTTTCGCGCCGGTTGCCGCTATTACAGCTGAAGCGCACTGTGTCAGATTTTGTCATTGGAGCGTAGCCTATTGGCGCTAGATCTAGGCTTTTCGATTTCTTTGTCATCACTCTTTTGCTTCCAAAGTTCTCTTCTTTGCTGTAGTAATTCATTGCAGATATGGTTCATTTGATCTGGATTCCTTTTTTTGGTCGTCTACGATGCTGAAAAAATCGATTCGTTGTCGAGTGAAACCCCTTTAGTCTAAACCCCGCTGTAGAGCTATTGCTGGATTGCAAGGCAAGGCCTTTTCGACGTCTATCTTGTTTTGAAGCTGGTTTACTATGCTGGATGAGCGAGTGCGAAAGTGCACTTTCTTTGTTTTTGAAGCTGTTCTATCGTGCCGTAGCAGCGATCTAGCTGCAGAACTCAAATTCTCTGTACTGTTTTTGCTTTTGGTACTTCACTACGCTGACTAACTCTATTTCAAAGCAGAGTGGGTAGGAGACTATATGTCGCCGAAAAAGGGCGGTCCCTGCGGTCATTTGTGACAAATACGCATCCTTGTACATGCGCGGACATGCGTTCCTGCAGGGAATCCGCGCGGGACTCTTCCAAATTCGGCGACATATAGTCCTCAACCCAAGCAGAGTCATTTGGTGCCTTCTCCTTCTACATTTAAGGTATATACCTTTACTTCAGCATAGCAATAGCTAACCTTGAGTAGTTAAACTTATATCAGTAAGTGTACTTAAGCAGTATAGTAGAGTAGCTTCAAAATTAGAAGTGCAAAAAACAGCGTTTTGCGATGATATCGTCCACTCAGCAGACCAACCTCAAATCGGAAAAGACATCGAGAAACCTTGCCTGCACAGCAGAGCAATATCATCAAAACGAAAGCTGTGCAAAAAATAGCGTTCCGCAAAGATTTATCAGCTCTCAGATTTGTGTAAAGGCGGGTTGCGGGCTTTCCCTGATTTTAATGGCAAAGTTAACGAAAGAGTACGAAAAACAATGCTGCATGAAGTTCCAACAAGTTCACACTTACATTCAGGGAAAGTCCGCAACCCAATGTCCTTAATAGAAGTAGCATAGCTTCAAAACTAAAGAAAAATTCAAAGAAACTTTGTTCTACGAAATCGATCAACTACCGTAAAAGAGACAAAACGCCTTCATTTTTTGCCCAAAGAAACAACTCTACAGCAGGAGGTAAATTGAATATTCGACAATAAGTCAACTATTCCAGCATCGTAGAACCTCCAGTGAATTACTTACGGAAAGAAGAAGACCTTGGAAAAGAGTGGTGGCAAAAGAATCGAAAAGCCTTGTATTCAGTGCCAATAGGCTCTCGCGACGCTCCAAGGACAAAATCTCACACAATGCGCTTCAGCTGCGATAGCAGCAACCGGCGCGAAAGCAGCTACTGGCTGCAAAAGCGACAACCGGCGCGGTTTTGGCGCGGTCTGGAGGCTCCCTAAGACAGCAATAAAAAGGCGCATTTCGTCGCTTGGTGTGTCATTGTCGAAAGTAAAGAGATTTTGTCGACACAGATATGCGGGTCTGCAAATTAAAGGAACCATCCACCCTAAGCTGAGGGTCTTGAGCTTTTAGCGGCATATGATATTGGGGCCCGCTATAAAGCCAATGCCCAAGTGCAGCGCAAAATGTCGCTTCGGAAGCGAGAAAATCGCTCCAGAACAACGAAGATGCCCGAGGACCATGATTCTTGACTTCATGGTACCGCCCTTCCCATCCATGCCTGCCCATCGTGCGCGCCCAGCCAAACACCATTCCAGAAACCCGCCCTGTGGGTTCTCCGGAAGGGATTGTCGGGTTTTCGCGGATTCTTGACTTCATACTCGGAAACAGGGACGTGAGAAGGCCCAGGAACGATCAAAACATGGATAGAATCTGGGTGGACGGTGCCTTCAAATCTCACAGATAGGCTCCCACCATATAAGTCCGTCTCCAGATAAGTACTGACTTATCTGACATTCTTCTTGACATAATTTCAGGGTAGTCAAATAAAAGGATATTATTCATTCTCTGACTAACAATAAGAGACGCGAGGCGAGGACGCGAGGCTTTACTTTTGAATGATAAATATACGAATGCTTTCGAACACGTTCTGACTAATTTTTACAAGGTACTACTTGGCTTTCCCGGTCCAGCTCGGGCCACTGGTCACCTGCACTGCGAGCCCCCCCCCCCCCTTGTATGTTATGGATCACTTACCCTGAGACGTCCGCTTCGAAACCGCATCTTCGTAATCCTGAGGTGAATGGCTTCATCGCTCTCCTTTATATGACTATGGGGAAGTGCTTGATTAAACATGATAAGCCTCCAATTTCTTAGAAAAACGTAAACAAATCAATAAATCGATGAAAGGACCCAGCGAATTTTAGTAAAAAGTATCCTAAAACCGTCTTCAAGGTCAAGAACATCTGTATGCAAAGTTTTAGCCCAATCGGTTAGGCGGCAGGCGTTTCTATAGCTCACATACCCTCCAAACTGACAATTTTTGAGTTTTATATATATATAGAGATTCGTGAAAGATATGTTTAAACTCGTATTTTTCAACAAACTCGAACATGTTTACACTTCTATTACTAAGGCAAAGGGCATAGTGTTCGCGAATTCGTCGTCGCTATTTCATCGCCAAGGATTTCGATGGTCTGTGCGATGGAAACGTGACGACCATGTCATCCGTCGCGCGTGCATAGGCATAGTGCTCGCGATTTCATATCTTTGCACACACAGGGCAGGTGCACGCAAACTGAGCAGACTGTTCTCACGCGATATGCGTTATTCCACTCACTTCACCTCTCTCCAGCACAAGCACATGTCGATCGTGATGAAATCGCGTACAACACGAGCTTACCAGTTCTTAGTATAGTGAATCTCACCTGGGAACGTCGGCCTCTGCGAGCCAATAGGTATATTGACACTCTTCACCAAATTTTTAGGTGGAACAAGCTAGTACGTGGATTTTATAGTGCTTTAGCAAAGACCCACATTAGACGCCTTTTCAAAAAGTTACACAGCATCGCTGCAAAGATAGCGAAAACACGAGCATAACCGTTTGGTGTTGATGCACTAGTAAGGACGGAAATTCTCCTGTATTCATACGGAGAAACGTAAGAATATGCAAACAAGCAAAGTGATAATGTGTAAAACTTTGCGCAAAGCAAAGACTCTAACACAAAAATCATCTAGAAAACACTTCAAAAAACCAACTTGTCAAAAATGCTTACACTTTCGAAAAATAAGTCACCCGACAACTTAAGGTTAGGAAAAGGCGTCGAAACTAGAAGTATCTCTGTACAACTACTTCAAACAAGTACCATTTCTTTTTCAAACAAAAACAACTGAAACATCAGCGCCTGTCCATAAAAATTCTCAAGATCTCCCTCGCACCTCAGCGATATCGCTCAGTCGCCTGTGCAGCACGCGCGACGCGACATGCTGGGTTTTGCCAATTTTGCGGCGATTATCGCTGCAGTACTATGCCCTGGCCAAAAAGGGTCTGCGATCCGTCGCGCCGGACGACTACCACAACCGCCGTAGGAGATACGAGGGCATGCAATTAGTGCGTAACAGTTGTCGCTCCACATACAGGGCTCCTAAATTGCAGAGTCGTTTGCACCAGCGGTCGCGCGACCGCGTCGCGCCCGGGCATCAATGGCGCCGCCTCGATCGATGGCGCCGGCGGCGGCAAAATGCACGGGCGCGACGCGGTCGCGCGACCGCTGGTGCAAACGACTCTGCAATTTAGGAGCCCTGTAAATCGCAGCGCAACGGAATCGTGACCACTATGTGCTAGGCCTAAGTCATCCAAAACGCGTTAGAACACATTCATAAACTTGTTAATGAAACGTACGCAAAGCGTGCTCGCGTCTCTTAGTCAGGGAATGAATGGTACCTGTAGGGCGGACATATCTGGGTCAAAAAAGCGGACTTATCTGTGAGATTTTCAGGTAAGAAACCAAACTTTTGCTTTCTGAAGAGCTTTTGTTCCACAACAAGGAGCAGCTGAGAAAAGCTTTCAAAGCGATTTCAAAATTATTGTACAAAACTGTTACGTTGACCAAACCAACGCTTTTAGCTTATGTTAAACTAGTACTTATTCAAAGCTGGGGGTGCAAAAACGGAATAAACTTTTGGGATCATCTATAAGCTTCGCAGTTTCCTACCGTTCCTCTCTCTGCATCTGCAAAGACTTGAAGTACATGAAAAACCTCACAAGCTGTATGCCAGACGGTATATAGACAAGTGCTGTAATGTTGATCATGGTATGCAGTTTTGGTAATGGCTTCAAAAGTACGTAGTAGCGGTAAGAGAATAACACTAGCAGAATATATAAACTGTGCGGAAAACAGTGCAGCCAGATGTTGTATCTGAAATATCACGCTTTATGTCACTTTAGAGAAAGGAACCCGACTGACGCAGCATTGCACACTGCTGTTCCAAGTTGGCAGCAAGGTCCATATGAAATGTAGAATAATGACATTCTGATTGGGATTACTCTGAATGTTTATTTTGTGATTTCGCTTTGTGGCACTCAGAAGCAAGTCACAAACCTTTGATGCACGATGAGAAGTGACGCAACGCAGGCAATAAGGTCACACACCGCTAAATTGCCGACGATAGCGGAATATATTTTGAGTTGTTTAGGAGTTCTTTCAATTACTAGGTAGACCAGAACGCTGTTAAATAATATCCCACAAGAGTTTAGTACCATATGCAGAGTGCTTATCACCACAGAATCCATTCTTAGCGCCTCTTTCTGATGTGATTCCATGTCAAGGGAAGGCAACGCAGACATACAAATTTAGCGCCTTTGCAGTTTAAAAGATTTTCATAGAATTTCTAGAAGATCTGAAGCAAACAGAGTCCCAAGTTTCCGAGGCAGAATTGGTAAAGAGTCCAATAGAATTGTATTTGGAAAACCATACCTATCCACTTCATCCACTTAACTACATCGAAAAAACTGGTTGAGTATTTTTTTACCCATTGAGTACCCATTTTTCGAAGCGGGTAAAGTGGATTATGGTGTGTGCTCATTTAGTAGAAGTATTGAAGTTCACAGTGTCCTCTTTGACATGGATGAACTACTACATTTTGACCATTTGTAATGCGTAATTTATTGGGTCCTCAGACAATCACAGGCTCTCAGCCGGCAGCGATAAAGGGCAGTTTCACTGAGCGGGCGGCGATACTGCAAAAGTGGCAGTGAGCGGGCGACGACATTGTAGGAATGGCGGTGAGCGGGCAGCGACGGGCTACCAGCGGGCAGCTATAATCTTCTATGAGTCAGAAAATAGCTGCAGAGCGCATTCATTCCTACAAAAGCAGCCAAAAGGCGACGATGAGGCAGCGACTCCGTTAAGCTGGCAGCGACCGTGAAACGATGGGGCTGCGAATACAAGATTTCTGTCAGCGGGCCGCATCAATACTATGAGCAGGCAGCCTTAATTCATAACGCCGTATTGTGGCTGCCAACTGGATGCCATATCGTTGCCCGCTCGAGACATTGTTGATCGCACCACAGAAAAGTTGGATGTGCAGGCAAACGAGATTGGCAGCGTGGGCTCGCGTCATTTTTTCATTTCTTGTTGCCTAATCTTTGTTTTCATCTTTGCTTTTCTTTGTTTTCATTTTCGTTATCATTCAGTGCTTCATTTCAAGTACTAGTGAACCAGTACCTATAGGCCCCGGTCAGACTTCACGCGACTTAATCGTCGCGACAAAATCGCCAAGATTTCCATTCATTTTCATTTCACATTCAAAAATTTCGGTCTGGAAAAGTATCACAACCGAATGCAAGTTGATCTGCATGGAATGATGTTGTAACAGTTGTCTCCTCGCGATTCAGTCGCGACGATCGAATCGCGTGAAGTCTGCCCGGGGTCATAGGCGCTATTTGGAAGAGCGTTTGCTTCGGGACTCGTCGTGGTTCCCCGCTATTTAAAGATTTTTGAATTGAGCTAACGATTCTTTATATATCAGATTTCTTTTGTTCTCTATGTTTGACTGCCTATCCAACCGGAAGAAGTGCTTAATGAAAGCCCCGTTTGTTTTTGAATCAAAACATCCACTGCACAATGTAATAAAAACTCTTTTTCAAACTCTCTCGAAAACCGTAAAAAACCATCTATTCACTCATTTTACGAATGTAAACATAAAAGTGCCTTTCTCTCAACATTTTCGCCGCTGTCACATCATTCGACTACAAGCGTGCTCTCTTTGCGCTCAAAGATCTGCATCATTGCGTTTCGCATGCGTCCATTTTCGAAATGCTTATTGATTAGAGGGCGTCGCTATACTTTGCTACTTCAATCCTGTGTTTATAATTTTTTCGAGAAAAAACTCTCAGCCTCAGCGGATTACACGCGAAAACATGACCTTTTACGCAACGAACGACCATCACGGCTCACTCCACGCCAGCGTGTTGTACGCAAAGTTCATTGAGTGAGGAAGGATTGATTTGAGGTTTAGTCTGAGTGCCACACACAGCGTAAGTTGTTTTCGTCGCACGTGTTTCTACCGATCGACCTTTTCAAAAAGTAAAATTCTCATTTCGAAGCCAAGTGCATTCATCGAAACACAGTGCGCACCTTTTCAATGATGTACCGTCGGTTCATTTCATATGATCATGTGTGCCGTTGCACACACCGTCCATCTTTGGCGTACCCATCCTGGATTCTTGGAGGACGCAACCCTTCCGTTAAGCAATTCTGATGTTTTCTCGCTGTTTTCTTTTCTTTTAGGTACTATTTATCTCTAAATGATGTAAGCGATAGCAATTGCTCAATCTCTCGCGTTTTTGCGATCGCAAGTCCGAGATGGGGACGCCAAAGATGGACGGTGTGTGCGGGTGCACACATGATCATATGAAATGAATCGACTGTACTGTACAGTGAACACATAAAAGGTTTACAGTTTTACGGAAAATTGTTTGGCACGCAGTCGTTCGTCAACGCAGCTATCGTCGATTCGTTGACCGTACGGACTGCTGAAGCGCTGCGGACCACATGCCGCGCGGTTAACATGTTGCGAGAGCACGAACAATGGCGATCTTGTATTGGAGCAAGCGTTTTACCTCGCGGCGCGTGCTCCGCGGTTATGTCCAGTCCGCGCAGTCAACGAATTGACGATAGTTATTTACAGCTGTGATGTGGAACTAGTTTCTGTCTCTTTTTATCGTCAAGGCTTGATAAAGTCTCCCTACCTCCTAGAAATGAAATTAGGGCTTTTCATACTTCCACTAATTGCTGTACCATATTTGTCTTGCTTTCTCTCTGTCTAATGTCTGTCTTTGATGTATATCTATATATTTCCAACTACTCTCTCTTCTGCAGGCATTTCATGATGTTTGTAATCGTAGTCAATTACAGCTTCTCTTAGACGCTGCAGTCACCGACGAAGACGCACACAATTCCAGAGGAAGTGTTGCACAACATAAGGAAAATGGGTTTGGATCAGAACTGACAGTTGCCTGAACGATACTCAGGCGCGTTGATTGTTGATTCGCATGAGAAACCCCTGCATTGCGCGCTAACACTGGCAGTTCCTCACTCATGTTTGTGAATATATTTATCGCGGTGGAATGTGTATTGCTTTGTCGCCGCTCCCCATATGAATTCGTTTTATCAATGTTTGTACCCTCAAGGTCTATTATCAGCATATTTTCTGTCCTAAAGAACGTAAATCTATGCGTGTGTATCACTGCGTACTTGCGTACTCATCCACTTAACTGTTACTTGCCATTTCATTAGTTATAACCTTTATCCAGAGTTTACAAACGTGGCCGTACATAGTCGTAGTATACGATCTAAGCTAACCTCTAAGCTTTTGGGCTACGGACACTTCCTATCTTTTAGGAAAGCGGGAAGCGGCAGTGAGGCGATAAGGCACGGAGCTTTTGGTGGGTTTTCGCGGTGGCTTTGTGGCCGCCGGCTGAGAGCTTGTGATTGTCTGAGTCGTTCCATAAGTTCATATTTTTTTATTCTCTTGCTCATTTTTCTAACAGGGGATTGTTCTGCCCCAACATGCATATACCAGTGAGAAGAACTGATCATGCTGTTTGATAGAACTTATTGACTCAGATATGAGTCTATCTTACAATTTCCCAGTTTCCAAGGGTGGAATTCTCAAAAGGCAAAAAGAAGCATTATCAACACCTGTTTTTTTTCACACAAGAAAATGTTTTTGCATAGATTTTTCCGCCAATTATTGAAAATGACGTTCGCACATCAACATGAGACACAAAAGAGTTGTATCTTTCAAAAGACCAGAGGTTGAACAGGGTGTCCCTTGAACAAGACTTTTTGTGGGACTAGCAGAACGTTCTGCACTGAAAAATGCTGGACAAGCAAATTGGTCGATTATACCATACGCAACCCATATGCATCATTCAAAGAATTTCTACTGCAAAGATAGCCCCAAAAATTAGGTCGAGTCTTTCTACCTGACGAAATATGGTTCCGTACGGCAGAAGTCTCAAAACTGTTTTGCCAAACTTGGCTGACGGATACATTAATGACCGCAGTATTCCTCAGCTCGCCCCAAAGACGATCTCAGGCGCCGGTAAAATGACTTTTTTGGGACCGGGCATGCCGAGTTTTGGAAAATAGTTGAAAATTTGATGGCAAGGTGGCAGAAAGTTATGCGCATCAAGTGAACATACCATTTTGATAAGATTCCGTCATTTTGTTGTATAAAAACGGTAGGGACTTATGGAACAAACTAATAAATGTGCCCTCCATATGGGCCTTTCGCTTACATAAAGAACTACAGATTTATCCTAGCTTAAGTGCTAGCATAGCAATGGATGGCTTGGCATTGGCTATAGTCAACTAGTTCCTTTTTATCGACTTCATCTAGTCCGGGAAAGAATCTGGAAAATATCATTTTGTCTCGAAAGTTCTGTTATTCCATTTTCGGAAATTTTTAAATTTGTGCCACCTCAACGAATTTCCTTCATTGTAATTTTAGTGGGAACAATAAGTCTTTCGCTTTCGAACACTGTATTGTAGAGCTTTTACCACACACTTACTGCAGAGATAAAAAAAGAGAAAGAAGACTATATGAGCTTTGGTTATTTTAACTCAGGTCGCCAAAAATCTGGATCGCTGCAGAGCAATCTGAAATCGTCAATGCATATGTTTTATAATCTAATCTCTGCAAGAAAAGTTTGGGCTGTTTGAATGTGTCTGTAAAATGCTATGATTTTGAAAAAAGTGATTGATTAATTTTGCTTTTCTGTGGTGAGTCGAAATTCGTAACTTCACGTCCACACAGAGACGTCCAAACAGGACAAAGTTTTCATATTTGCAAAGAGTAGGTCAAAAATTCTATGCATAGACGATTTCAGATTTTTTGCAGCGTTCCAGATTTTTGGCCTAGGTTAAAATCACCAAGCTTTTTAGTCTTCTTTTTCTATTTCTATCTCTGCAGTCAGTTTGAGGTAGAAACTTCCCAAGACAGTATTTGAAAGCGAAAGAGTTACTTTTACCAATAAAATTACAATGAAGGAAATCCGTTGAGATAGCGCAAAGTTATAAATTTCCAAAGTTAAAAGAAGAACTTTCGGGACAACCTAATATCTGCGTCAATTTCTTTTCTTTTTAGCTTTGTCAGTACAAGATCAAGGACTTACTTGTTACTATGGTGAACTTGAAGAACTTTTGTGCAGGATCGTCTGATTGAAGATCAGATGAGGTACGGGTGAAAGGATGAGACTAAAGGAAAAGCTTGATTGCAACAAGTAAAAAGTTGTTACAGTCAGACACATAAGCGACATCAAACACTGTCGTAAATTGTGACTTATCCATAGGTGATAGACTTAGTTTCCTGGTCTCTAGCAGCGGATAAACAGCGGAAATTTGAGCAATTTTCCTTCCTTATTTACGTCTGATTGCCTTCAAGCACATTGCTTTGAAACATGCGTAAAGATAGGATAGTTTCTATCAGGTCTATAAATTATTTTTTCCGTCGGTGTTTTTGACCATTGGCGTGTTGATGTGGTGAGATTTTACGGGCAGGTTTTACCTGTATACGATATCAGAACCTTTGAGGTTTTGATAACATACGTTGCAATTTACGGAGTGGAGTCCCAGAAAAATGTGTTGAACGGTTAATCTTCAATAACTTTTTTGTATGTTGCGTTTTTCAACTATTTTCCAGAGCTGGCTTTAACTTAGATTTGCTATGTGGAGCAAATCAATGATCGCTCTTCATTACTCTAGGATTACGGTAAAACTTTTAGCATACAGTGGCATTAGCTGCTTTGAACTGATCGAGTTTGTAACTTGAATGGAATGAAGTCTGAAAGTTAGTTGATGTGCTAAGGCTGAGTATGAAAGCCCACGGATCGAATCTGAACCGTTGTTAACGTATCCATGTCGGCCTTTTTACTCAAACTTACGGTAACAGAACCGTTGTACATAGAGATTTCTTGGAAGACTCAGCGGGCTCAATTAACACAGTAATGCGGCAAAAAGAAGAAAAGAACCTCATATTCCACTGTTTTATCTTCATCACTGTACGTTGATTTTAGCTCGAAAACAACAACACCAGCTTAAACCATGTGACTTATCCATCAATATAGGATTTATTGCACAAACAGTAAAAATGACTCAGTCGAAAAAGCTACATGTCGAAGTAAAAGCAGAAGACAGGCAGACTAGACAACTGTTCACCTATCTCTCACTTTTCTTGCTACTTTTATTACACAAAATCGTTTGAAACTCCAATAAGTCTAGTAATTTATTCAAATGCCCGATATCCTTCTAAGAACACAACCTGAGTGCGACGCAGAAAAAATGATAAATTGGAGAAGCCGCCATTCTAAGTATGGGTTAGACAGGGCTCGGCACGAGGTAGCTAGTTGAAAATGCAAAAAACGAAGTCCCCCCTACCCACAAAAGTACGACATCCCCCTTGACACGCTAACGAACAAATCAAACATGAAAACAAAAAGAATGAAACAGAATACAAGACCGACAATAAATAGGCAATAAGAACTATTGATTGTTTGTATTCTCCGGGTTGGCGGCATACTGCGTCCATCGCGCACCACCGCGAGCTTGGAGCACCTTTGCCGCTGCCAACCGGATAATTTGCAGGGCTATAACTAGGCGGGAAGGAGAGGGTTTGGGGAGGTACAAGAGCTGTTTTGTAGAGTATTACATCTATGTAAAAAAAATTTGAAAAAATTATGTGAAGAATAGGAATTAAATGACTTTGTTTGCGCTAGGCCACCTCAGGTGGCTATCCAGCGGCCGTATTCATCAACGAAACCCGTGGGTTCTGGAACCCACTGGGTTAGTGCTTTTGATGAATATCGATTCTTCCCTGGAGTAGAATCGATATGCATCAAAAGCACTAACCTAGTGGGTTCCGGAACCCACGGTTTCGTTGATGAATACGGCCACAGGTGGCTTGAAAGCCATCTAACCCCGAAAAAAGTTTGCCATGCCCTTAGTTCACATAATTTTTTCATAATTTTTCATACATAGTCCCAACTCCCCATTGCCCATCTACACACCTATTTTTGCCATCTCATCTTCACTTCGCTGTAAACAAACCCTTTGTTTATTTGCTGGCGGCATGCCGGCAGCGTGCCGGCAGCAGATCGAAAGACAGTTTATGCTCTTCCGCGAAAACGATATCCCCTTTGCCTTTTCCCCCAAAAACGATATCCAGCTTGCTTTGTAAGCCACCTGTGCCAAGCCCTGCACTTAGAGCACCCCGTGTGAGTTTTGAGATGGTTCCAGTCCCTCGATTATATTAACTTAAAATTAAACCTGCGCAAATGTAAATTCAATTGATCCTTTTCTTATCATAAAGACGTTTTTTTCGTCATTTCTCAACTTATGTCTCAGGATGAATTTCCCAATCTTCATTTTGAAGTAATGTTGAAGCAAAAACAAATAAGTGAGCCAAATCGTCGTGCTCTTTCTGACTTAGCCGCTCTTCGTCTTTTTCATTCCACTCCTTTTTTAGCTATATATAAATTCAAGATTTCTGGCAGCGAAAATTCTAATTACGTAGGCTTGCAAGGGATACTTTGACAAATTTTGACCATGCTTCAGTACGGAAATTGAGAAGAGGTTTGCTTTAGCGTTGTTAGGGAACCAGGCTTTTGATGTATATTGTATGTCGTGGGCACAATACCCTTGATAGTCCAGAGATAGGGTGTCAAAAGATGTTGTTTGAATATCTGCACTTTATAAAAAGTGAAGGTTGTTCAAAGGAAATCAAAGAAGTGAAAAAGTTGCAAAATAAATCGCAAAAGCAGAAGAAAAATAAACGATAAAAACGCTCCAATCATGAAAATTTTCGTTTGGTGGAGTTTCGAGTTGCAGGTTTTCCAAGCCGGCCAATTCAAACACGGAGAAACGAGGGAAAGTTAATTTCTTTTTTGTGATTGTTTAGCCAAACATATTTCAAAAGTGGTGATCATCAAGAAGAAGATAAACTAGAAAAGGGACAACTATAAAACCGTAAAATTTTGTTTTGCTTTTTGTTTTGTTTTTTTAGGGCCGCATGCATTATCCCTGCCAGGGAGAGAATCACTGCTTGAAGAAACCTTCGTATCCTGAAGCTCCGAACTTCTGGATTTCACACTATCTACCCATCCGTATTCCTACCATCCTTCACTATGAACATATTAATCAGGAGCGAGAAGCTGTACAAGCAGCATTTTTAGCATTTTGTATGGTCCGCTGTTGATCCTTGGCGGCCAACCGTCTTTTCTTCAAAGTCATTTTTCTTCCTTCAAATTTAGCGAAAACATTCCAAAGTTGTACCGTTCACTTAGCTCAACAGTGCTAAGCATGTTGCTGATAAGAACAAATGATGTATTGGAGTCATGAATTGCGATGAACCACAAGTCGAATGTTGGGTATCGAAAAATTCGATTTTCCAAAAACTCACCTGTTCATATCAGCAACTTTAGCACTATTATGTTAGACCAGCCGCCCTCTGCCGCTACGCGGCAGGTTCGGCTGGTACGTGGCAGCTTCGCTTCCGGTAAATCTTTCTTTTTGTTCCTTATTGAAAGTGAAATGCAGAAAATTTGCCATTTTGCACGAACTACTTCGTTTATAACCGACGCAGAAAGAACAACCGTGGGCAATTTCGGCTTTGTCAGTTTATTTCGAATTAACACTAAGCAATGGATATTACGCGAACTGCGAAAAATCAATAAATTGAAAGGGTCGATCATTATAATTGAACAAACGGCTCATTGAAACACATCCCACCCATGCGTTACGCCTGGCAAATTTGGTCTATATTCCATAACTCCTTCTATCATTTTCAAGCAAAGATAATTTCTAGGCAAAAAGTGCAAAAATTCATAAATCGATAGCAACAAACCGTGTGTATCAAACAAAATGGCTTATTAACAACGGCGCACACCAGCATTACGTCTGCCAAATCTGCCTTAAATCCTATGATTCTTTTTCTATTCATCGTGAACGAACATAAAAAAGGGGTAAGTCAAATCTATAAATCTAATCTATATATCTAATCTACATCTTTTTGAAAAGTCGTAGTGCTGGCGACAACGAAGGTAACTTACGTGCACCAGGGCAAGGTCTTCTTGGGCCTCTGGTGCTTCCTGGCCTTGGTGAAGACGGTTATGTGCAGTTACGGAGCTCCGCATTGTGCCACGTGCTCGTGTTCTTTGCGCAATGTGCATCTGTGGAATGGAGGTGGAGGTAGGTGCCGGTTCAAACATCACTTGTTGCCGCGAGTCAAGCGCAAAGATCGTTTGTGGTGTGTTCTCGTCGATTGGCTCGTGTCGTCGTTGGCCAACCCGTTCTGGGCTCGCACCATGCCTGGATTGATCCAGTGTCTCCTGAAGGCGTCTGTTAAGCTGTGGTTCCTGTTGCCGTCGACGAAGATGACGTTCATGCATTGAGGCAAGACGCCGTTCTCGGGCCTCTGTATTTCTCGGCTACGACGAAAACGGCTACGCTGGCTTCAGAAGTGCGCCTTGCAGTACGGGCTCGGATTCGGCGATATGCACCTGCGACTGAGGTGTAGAGGTGGAGGGTCCATTGCTAGGGGGTCAATGTCGGCGCCATGTTTCGGGTGTAAAAGTCGAAGGAGGTACGATCGATGAAGGCATGGTATGAATGAACCGTAAGTCCGGGATAGGGTATTTTGATTTGGTGGTCATATTTGATCTCGCGGATGAACTATTTTGATTTTATTGATGAGCTATGCAGTCGATGAAACTCGTTGCGAGGTCAATGCATAGTTGAATATCAGCTAGCTCCAAAATGTGGCATACAAAAAATTGAGAAAAAAGGTTTAAAAAGTTCAGTGGTTAAAGTTGTAGATAATTTATTCGAATTGACCATGCTTACAAGGGAATGGTCAGAAGTCGAAGTGGCCAAACCAAAGAAGTTGTATATCATTCGATGCAGTATAAAACGCTGACTTCGAATCTGTCTTACTTATCTGCTTCCCGCTTTTGTGGGCGAAGCTACAAGCAATTTTATTGTGAAAAAATTATACATAAAAACAGCGAAATCAAGCACATTGTTGCACTTTTAGCTCAGCTTCTGGCTTCAAAAATTTCAAGTAAGCTAGCTGCATGTTTTGGCCCAGCATTGAGGCGAACGTTACTCTGTACGGCTAAATTTTCAATTTCACGCATAATTTCTAAGCAAAATAATGCTCTTTAATGGCTTGTAGCTTCGTCCAGAAAAGCGATAAGCAGGTAAGGAAGACAAATTTAGAGTCAGCGCTTCATGCTGCAACTAACGGTACGCAGCTTGTCTGGAATGGCCACTTCGATTTCTGACCATTCCCTTATTAGCTATCCATTCCTGCCAGTTCTCAGCTCAACAAAGATTGAAACCCAAAATTCGATAAATCGATAACCCCTAATGGTGGAAAAACCTTAGTGACACCGGCCCCACCCCGAAGTTCATGTGTGCAAAATTTCGTTTGAATTTAATGAAGTTTTCTAACATTTTAGGCCGGTCATAACGAATTTGCTAGGCAAAAAACGCAAAAAAATCGATAAATCGATAGCGCCACTTGGCGATTTTCGCTGAAAAAGCTTAGTGACACCCGCCCCACCCCGAAGTTCATGTGTGCAAAGTTTCGTTTGAATTTAATGAAGTTTTCTAACATTTTAGGCCGGTCATAACGAGATTGTTAGGCAAAAAACGCAAAAAATCGATAAATCGATAACGCCACTCGGCGATTTTCGGTGAAAAAGCTTACGAGGGAGCGATACTTGGTGACCGTGGCCTTTTGCAATGAGATGTATACCAGTAGGTGTGTCTTGAAAGGCTGATTCTAAATCTATGTTCTTTATCTGCTGTGTGACTCTCTGAACGAAGTTATGGACTTTTTTCCATTATGATTTTGCGAGATTAAGGCAGTCAAAATCGTCAGTATCCGGCCTTTTTAGACTCTGATGTACCGGTGACAGTTTTTCTGAGCTTAACGTGAAGCTTTACTTTATCTGTACGTTCTTCTGTAGTGCGTACGCGAACATTCTAGCGATATTGGTGAATCCTGCATCAAAAACAGTACAGATTTCGGTGACAAGAAATGTCCATAACTTCTTTCGGAAGAGCGCACAGCAGATAATGAAAACAGATTTGGAATCAGCGCTTTAAGATGCATTTAATGGTGTACGTTTCATTCAAAAGGCCACGGTCACCAAATATCCTTTCCTTGTTAGTGACACCCGCCCCACCCAGAATTTCATGTGTGCAAAGTTTCGTCCAAATTCCTTGATTCTTTCTACCATTTCAGGCCGGTCATAAAAAAAGTGCTTATCCAAATATTATATAAGTATATTCAGTACAACTTTGGAAGGATTTCGTTAACTTCGAAGAATGAAAAGTGACTTTGAAGAAAAGACGGTCGGCTGCGGGGGATTATCAGGGGATCATACAAAAGGCTGGAAAATGCGGCTTCTACAGCTTCGCTCCTGTTCAATATGTTCATATTGAAGAAAGGTAGGGTTCTTAAGGATAGATATATAGCGTGAAATCTAGGTATCTGGAGTTTCGGGATATGAAGTTTTCTTCTGAAGCTGCGATCCTCTTCTCGGTGGGGATGTTAATGCATGCGGACCTAAAAAAGTTTGTTTTTACTAAGTCAAACTGCTCGTCGGCATTCGGTTTTTTGACTCGTCGTTTAGATTTTCACCCCCTACTCGTAGCTTGTGTTTCTGGCGACGTTGTCAGCTAGGCTGTGCTTATAATCCTGAGCGAAATTCCCCCAAGCGTAAAAAATGGCTGCTCATCAACTCCAATAAAGGCCTATAAACAAGAATGCACTTTTTGCACTTTTCGCCAATTTCACCACTTTCGAAGAAATTAGTTTGATGACGTTGCCTATATTATAGACAAAAGCAATATCTATCAAGTGCACAATAAAAATTACCGCTCGAAAAGAACTAAATTGAAGAAAAAACAAGAGAACCTTCAAAACATCGCTTTTTTCAGATTTCTCTTTCAACTTGAAATGGGGTTTCTACACATTGTGCGTGAAAGTAGAGCTCAAGAGCTTTCAATGATGTACGGTTTGCTACAATTATATTCAGAACAACGAAGAAAAGAGTAACTGTCTCGTGAGGTAGCGATGCGCGACGCGCGAATTCGCAGAAGCAGAGGAGACCGACGGGGCGTTCGGCTATGGTCGTAGATCTCCGCTGGGTCACAACGAAACCCTGCAACATTATATATATACCAGTGCGTCACCTCTGCTTCGCAGAGGCTCGCACTGGCCTTACATTCTGTATGCCTTACTAATTTCCGCATAATGGTGACAGTGAAACTCACCGCGTTATGCAGGCTATCACGAATGATTTGTAAACAGCTACTCATTCCTAGAGGTTTTTGTGCGAGATCGGTAATTTCACGTGGATGAAACTTTTCTCAGAAGAATAAATGCAAATTTGAATAGGTTTGTGGACTTCTCATGGCTTGGTAGTCGCCATAACGGCAATAATCATCGTGGGCTGCATCTCTGTGCAAAAATCTTCTCAAATGATCACGTAAAATTGTGGTAAATTGAACATTTACGCACTGATGCTTTTTGGCGCCATTTTCATAAAGTTGAACTTAGTTGAACTTTAGTTGAATTTTTTGGGCTAAAGTTCACGGCTTGTACATTAGCTTGTCAAATATATCCACGACTTTGCAAAAAGTTTATATACGGACCCAATTTTGCTGGTCAGAAGTTAAGTGGACCCGTTTCGCGCGCAATTTCTAGGGGATCCACTTATCGGATCCGCCTGTGCATTTGCGAAATGTACTTTCCTGCTGCTGGGATGTGTTATGCAAAATTTGGGCTCAAGAGGTTGGCTGGAACTCTCCCTACGAATTTCGTAACGGACAGACAGACACACACACACAAAAAAACGTAAACAACCCTTAGCCCGTTATTATAAGTTATGATATATGTCATTTCGACCGTCATAACACTACTAGGAGTACTGTTAATTAACGTCGGAGGCCTTGAAAATTAATTCTTAAGGAATTGAATCAGCATTTTCCTGGGCACTTGCAAGATCTAGCGGCAGTTTTCGTTTTTATTGAACTTCAGTCTTCGGAATTTTTCAAACTCATCGTAGTCCACAAAGAGAGGTCAATTGAAATATTTGTTCCAAATTCTGAAATTATACGAAATTCTCGTTTTTTGGCACAAAGAAAGCTTCAAACACGCAAAATTTTGGTTTTGTTGGGATAATTTTGACATATTGCTTACTAAACTTCAATTCATTTCGATATGGTTATGATCTAAACATCCGAGGCTTTGCCCCGAATGACTCCGATTCTTTGCTGAAGGTTGTATTATTATGTCACTCAAAGTGAAGATCACCGGAGTACATGGTTCTAGGTATCGAAGGTTGTGCACTGTCCAGATACCTAATTACTCTGTGGTAATATTCTAACACTCGATTTTCCAATCATCCAATTGTATCAACACCAACTGAGCACTCGCTGAATGGGCTAGCCAAAGCGCCTACGACTCTAAAAATTAAAAGAGGGAAAAAGTTCCTTGGTGGAGTTGGCGATGCAATACCCTATTTTATTTATTTTATTTTATTCAATACGCTCTTGACGTACCTTACAAACGAACAAAAACATAGTTATGTGGCACCCATGCCCCCATTATTTGCCAGCAAAACAATCGCGAGATATTCCAACAAGTTAACTACATTTCGATAGTATATCCACTGTCTCTAAGCCAGCGCACTGGGAAGAGTCTAATGACTCCAAGTAAATATCAAAGGTAGTAGTATATGAATAAGTCATATGCGACAGGCAAGAAAAACTCTAATGTATGGAGATGGTGCAGATGTCGTACGTTTGCCAGCAAAAATGCTCTTGGAGTAATAGAATAGGCAAAGCAAGGCCAAGTTGAGAAATAATAGCTAACCTTGCTTAGAAAATTCCGGGGAGAGTCCAATGACTCCGCGAAAGTGTCATCTTGATAACGCCTTTCGTAAGTCAATCAGAATAAGCAAGTCATGAGGCTGTACTAACTGAAAAGAAGAAGTTGCTTATACCTGAGCTAACATGATGAGAGATATGGGTTAGGAAGAAATACAGGGTGTCTCAAAAAAATGTGCGTACTGTTTGAATGTGAATAACTCATTTATGATAAAGTCTTTCGAGAAGCTTTGGGCACAATTTTGTAGAGCTGGCTTCAACTTAGATTTACACTATGGAAGGGACCGCCGATCGCTCTTCATCACTGTAGGATTACGGTAGGAACTTTGAAGAGGGTTTTAAGCCATGAAAGACCATATTTTGCCTAAGAAAGCAAACAAAACGACCTGAAAACTTTTATGGGCTAATTAGAGTTGCTGATTCTAATTGTAAGTGTGAAGTTCGCAACTTATCATAAGGCTTCATTAGAAAGTTATGCAAGCTAAGCAGTACCGGCCGTTATTCCAATGTTTCCGAAAATTGCTGTTACACCGTTTAGAAGGCTTCGCAATCTTGTACATAGTTGAGTATTGAACTCAGCATCCATGGAAACCCTATTACACAATTTTTCACATTTTTTGTAAATTTTGAAACGTGTCGCGGATTGGGCCCCCAGCTCCCAACGTCAGTGGTGTTAAGGCTCTCCTGCATCGGCGAGGGGAGCCAGGAGTCCGCTCCGTGAAAGAGTGAAACGTATCATGTGAGATGGCTACCTGTGTGAACGCTAATTGTGCCTGCCACATGGGTACTCCATACACACGTAGGGGCCCTTGCCACTAGCCTACTTAGCAGCTACTCGACACCTAGGGGCTAGGGGCCGGCAATATGAGAAACCCCCCGAGGCGGTGTCGCCGGTGTGTGCCAGGCGCGAGCGCGCTCGGGGTTACCTCGTAGCGCGGGAGCCAGTGGAAGTGACGCGTGAGATGGGATGGCGCTGGATCGATCGATGGCATGAGACGAATAGAACCCCACCGCTCACGATGGCGACAGCAGCGAAGAATGACTACGTGACTTATTTAAACGCTGCGCAGGTGAGAGAGGTGAGAGGCGGGACAGCGCGAGGACAGCGTTTTGGGACCCCTTCGCAGCGCGGCGGCAGCAACCTTTGAAGGAAGTCGCGAATCCGCGACAAAACGGCAGCTTTCTCACATGGACACCATATGCTTGAAGTTTCTACCCTAATCCTACAGTATTGAAGAGCAATCGGCGATTCGCTCTATACTGCAAATTTAAATTGCAGCCAGCTCCATAGAATGGTACCCAAAGCTTCTCGAAAGACATTAGAAGAGAGTTATCAACAATCAAACAGTAGCCATTTTTTGACACCCTGTATATATGAATAGTGTTGAAAAGCAACACAATGGGCATACGAAATTCAGATTGAACATGGATTAGAAATCTAATCGCACGCCAGCTAAAAAAACAGAGGTCGATATTATGCTATGATGCAATATGAGTTATGATTAGCGTACAGAATTGAAATGTCAAAAGTCGTCATTCAGTGCTAGTTGGTAATCGCAGTAGGTTTATTCGTATATTGCCAACATATCAAAGCCGTACAGATGTCGTACTAAGGTTACCTGTAGAAATCTCACTCAGTTTCAGTGTCTTCAGTTTGTTTTGAGGAGGTACTGTTTTTATATGCAAAAACTTCACTGGGTAATTTTCTCAACTTTGCTACTCGATCAAAAAAATCGGAAAAGTTGATTTTTTTCGCCTACCGCTCCGCTGATGATAAATGGAAAAACATCTCGTCCTTCCATAAGTGGGCTTAAAGACCCAGTATTTGGAAGGCCCCGATATAGTCTCCCCCTGAAAATTCTGAAAGCAAGTACAAGATCATGAATGAATCTGCCATACGAGAGACTATTGAGGTCAAGTATTTCTAGACGTTCTTCATAGCCTGGTAGTGATTGGAGATAAGTAGGACTGGGAGAGCAGCAGTAAAAAAGTAGTCGTGTAAAAACTTTCCGAATATTCTCCAGAGAACGTTTGTGCTTTACCAGAAAGGGGCACCACATCTGATTCGCATACTCTAAAATGGGAATGACAAAAGATTTATAAAGTTTCGAGATTACTTTAGGGTCATCAACTTTCGTATTACGATATCCTTCTATATATATAAAACCGAATGGTGTACTTGTCTGTACGCTGGTGGATGCCGTCTGTACGTCCTCGATGGTGTTTTCCTGGTCGATAGTGTTTTCGTGTCTGTTGTTTTCCAGTATGGAAACTTGTTACTACTTCCACCAAATTTATCGATTATTTGCAAATTTTGAACTACGGGGCTCGGAGTTGGCACAGGGGGGTAAGCGAACATGCTGATTACGAATACAATATTAGTTCTTAGAATTATCAATAACTTTTATCATTTTATCGATTTTTTGCAAAGTTCGAGCTACGGCGGTGAGAGTTGGCACAGGGGGTAAGCGAACATGCTAATTACGAATATGATAACCATTTTCAAAAATACCCATTACTTTTATCATTTTATCGATTTTTTGCAAATTTTGAACTAAGGGGCTGGAAGTTGGCAAAGGGGGTAATCGAGTATGCTGATTACGAATACAATATTAGTTTTTAGAATTATCAATAACTTTTATCATTTTATCGATTCTTTGCAAAGTTCGAGCTGCGGCGGTGAGAGTTGGCACAGAGGGTAAGCGAACATGCTGATTACGAATTTTAGAATTATCAATAACTTTTATCATTTTATCGATTTTTTTGCAAATTTTGAACTAAGGGGCTGGAAGTTGGTAAAGGGGGGTAATCGAGTATGCTGATTACGAATACAATATTAGTTTTCAAAAATACCTATTACTTTTATCATTTTATCGATTTTTTTGCAAATTTTGAACTAAGGGACTGGGTTTTGGCAAAGGGGGGTAATCGAGTATGCTGATTACGAATACAATATTAGTTTTTAGAATTATCAATTACTTTTATCATTTTGTCAATTTTTTTGAGTTCAAGCTACGGAGCTGGGAGTTGGCACAGGGGGGTAATCGAGCATGATTACGAATATGATAACCATTTTCAGAAATACCCATTACTTTTATCATTTTATCGATTTTTTTGCAAATTTTGAACTAAGGGGCTGGAAGTTGGCAAGGGGGTAATCGAGTATGCTGATTACGAATACAATGTTAGTTTTTAGATTTATCAATAACTTTTATTATTAGGTTGTCCGGAAAATAATGTCGCTTTTTATTTTAACATGCAAAATCGTGGCAGGGTGAGCACGAAAGTAAGTAAGTGGGGTATGAACCGATATGTCAAAGCAAGCTCTACAAAACGAAGCTCGAGCCTTTGCGCCAGGTTTGATTTGCATGGAGTTTGGAGCCAAATTTCACAAGGCACTAAAGATCTTAAAAAATTTAAAAAAATCGTATCTCTGTTTGGAAACGCCCTGGGAACCCCTAACTTGCTCACGCGTGGACTCACTATAGGAGACACACGTATGCACATTTTCGCGGGTTTTCCATGGCTGAAAATTGTGAGAACGAAATTCGGCACATTTTTGCCAAAACAATCTTGAGCTTCTCTCACATGGGTGATTCTGTAGCATGAACCTTTAGGAGTATAACCATGAATTTTCAGATTTGGGCAAGCGCTAGTTTTCGAGAAAATCAAATTGTTTGCAAAAAAACCGAAAAATGCGGCATATTCGCACTTTTGACCTATTTTTATTTCTCGTACTGTAGCCAAGGAAAAATACCACAAACTATGCAGGTGAATGTCTAGTGTAGAGAGTACATGCCTGTGCAAATTGGAGATAGATAAGACGTCTATGAACCGAGATACGAATTTTCGGATATCTAAAAATTTTTACATTTTGGATTGGAACTTCAGGTGGAGCACGATTTCCACATAGTTTTGGAACTATCTTGTAGGGGTTTCTTTGCTCTATCAAATGATACCCCATTCGCTATTTTTCATGGTCATTCTGTCGCGGTAGGATGCCATGCGACATTATTTTCCGGACAACCATATATTTTATCGATTTTTTGCAAAGTTCGAGCTACGGCGCTGAGAGTTGGCACAGGGGGGTAATCGAGCATGATTACGAATATGATAACCATTTTCAGAAATACCCATTACTTTTATCATTTTATCGATTTTTTTGCAAATTTTGAACTAAGGGGCTGGAAGTTGGCAAGGGGGGTAATCGAGTATGCTGATTACGAATACAATGTTAGTTTTTAGATTTATCAATAACTTTTATTATTAGGTTGTCCGGAAAATAATGTCGCTTTTTATTTTAACATGCAAAATCGTGGCAGGGTGAGCACGAAAGTAAGTAAGTGGGGTATGAACCGATATGTCAAAGCAAGCTCTACAAAACGAAGCTCGAGCCTTTGCGCCAGGTTTGATTTGCATGGAGTTTGGAGCCAAATTTCACAAGGCACTAAAGATCTTAAAAAATTTTAAAAAATCGTATCTCTGTTTGGAAACGCCCTGGGAACCCCTAACTTGCTCACGCGTGGACTCACTATAGGAGACACACGTATGCACATTTTCGCGGGTTTTCCATGGCTGAAAATTGTGAGAACGAAATTCGGCACATTTTTGCCAAAACAATCTTGAGCTTCTCTCACATGGGTGATTCTGTAGCATGAACCTTTAGGAGTATAACCATGAATTTTCAGATTTGGGCAAGCGCTAGTTTTCGAGAAAATCAAATTGTTTGCAAAAAAACCGAAAAATGCGGCATATTCGCACTTTTGACCTATTTTTATTTCTCGTACTGTAGCCAAGGAAAAATACCACAAACTATGCAGGTGAATGTCTAGTGTAGAGAGTACATGCCTGTGCAAATTGGAGATAGATAAGACGTCTATGAACCGAGATACGAATTTTCGGATATCTAAAAATTTTTACATTTTGGATTGGAACTTCAGGTGGAGCACGATTTCCGCATAGTTTTGGAACTATCTTGTAGGGGTTTCTTTGCTCTATCAAATGATACCCCATTCGCTATTTTTCATGGTCATTCT